CACATGGGAGCTCAATCAACGATGCTACCAATACAGATTGGACACCAGACGATCGGTGGGACCCATATTCTAGCATCGCTCGACGCGTCTTACAACTGCGCCGGCAATACCCTGACGCGATCATTTACGTCCTCGGAGCGGACATTGCAGAGGTATTCCTACACGTTCCGGTGCACGCTCGACACGCCTCTGCATTCGGGGGCAGTATCCCTCGATCATACGTCGGGATCATGTCAGGTACCGCCGTCTTCGGGTGGACAGCCTCGCCCGGATGCTTCGCAGTATTCGGGAAAGCCGCGAGGCATTATCATCGATACGGATATTCATATGTGTTAGGGTTACCAGAGCCCTTCTGGATATTCCAGTGGGTCGACGACATCGTCGTTATCGAGGTCGACATTGGAGACAGACTCCATTGCGCAGAGTAACGACTGAGAAACGCAATCAAACTCGTATTTGGGCCGGATGGTTGGCATGAAGGCAAATTCACAACCTGGTCCCGTCAGATTCACGCAGTCGCCATCGACAGGAATCTAGTGGACCTCTCAGTATCCATTCCGCAGAGGAAGATTCACAAGATGAAATGCAAAGTCACAGAGGCTTTGGACCTACAATACATAACCAAGAAGAACCTAAGCAGCTTGGTAGGCGTGCTACGGCATGTGACGACATTCATCCCCATCGCAAAACCGTTCATGCAAAGGCTCATTCGTGCCCAACACGCCATGGAGCGTTTTGGCAACCCAGGAACACCGATGAATGACATGCTTCATGGAGATCTTGAATGGTGGAAACAACTCGTATTCGAAAATGAGTTTGCGGGGGTACCAATGTCCATGTTTGACTCGACGCCACCAGAATCCGACGGCTGGGTCGTCATTCATAACGAATCGAGTTTCATCGTCGAGGGCCTGACACCCCGACGAACATTCAGAACCACAAGGTTTCAGTCGGACAACGGAGCAACATTGGCACAGTGCCTACTCAGTGTAGTAACTTCGTGGATTCCGCTGAATCCCAGTCACACCCGGTGGCAACACGTTCGAGTGTACGTACAGACCTCGTGGGAAGCCAAGCTTATTCAAAGCATGTACTGCTCAGACCCAGTCGGTCAACGCCAGCTCCGGGAGCTGGCGCTAGCCGAAGCCTGCAGAAGGCTGACGCTATCAGTTACCAGAGTCCTCGGGCCGAGATCCGAAACTCGTCCATGCGATGTACACATCCCGACTTACCAATATGTTCGTATGCCTATGCAGACAGACTCGGTCGGATTACCGCAGCTACAGAACAGCTTAAGAGAGCAGCCATCAACAAATCCTCTCTTCGAACGTACACAAAGAAGTTCAACCACTGGGTTAACTTCTGCGAAGCGTTCGGACTCCCCATTTGGATCGACGAACTACCCCATGAGCGGCAGGCACGAATCGTCGGTCTGTTTGCTGGACGCTGCGCTCTCGAGGGCCACAACAAATCAGAAACGAGGGAACAAATACTAGACATTCGACAGTAAAATGGCCGCAGTGGTCTTCGCTCACAGGAGCGTCAGAAACGCGAGACTCAATTACAAGAATCCGG